AGACCCTTACCCCGCACCCTGGGGACAGCTTAGCCCCTGTCGCCCCTCACCCTTATGCCCGCCGGAACCTCAGATCTCTCCTATGGTGTGACTTCCCAAGGTGATCCGAGAGGCTATATTCTTCAATGTTCCAGTTCTTCCTTCTATCCGSTATTCCTTCGTTTAGCTTTCCTTCYTTTTTCTTCTACWTTAGTTAGATATTAGTCAGGTCAATTATTATTGGTATTTCTTTTGTTTCAATATAGTCTTTAAAGTCCGTCCAGTCTGTCCTTCTGATTGTTCCATTCATTCTTTGGGCAAGGTCATCCATTTGGATAATGTCAAATGCTTTAAGAATCCAATCCTCTATAGTTGGAGCTGCTTCTTGTTTCCATCTTTTAGCTATTACCAATCTTGCCGCTGTACTTAACAAGAACAAGATTTTTTCTTGATTTTGATTTAAATTTACTTTGTTTTTTATTCCTAAAAGGTATGTTTCAGGCGTTTTTTGTAGATTGACCTTTAGTATTTTCTGGGTAGCCTTGTGTACCTTTTTCCAATACGGCTTGATTTTCTTACAGGTCCACCATTGGTGATAAAAGGTGCCTTTTTCTTTCTTGCATCTCCAGCATCTATCTGATGCGCTTCTGCTAAATTTCGCAATTTTGTCCGGTGTGTAATACCATCGGTAAAACATCTTAAACCAGTTTTCTTTGAGATCACTGGCGACGGCATATTTAATTTTTTTGGACCAAATCTCCTCCCATTGACTCATTAAGATGTTGTGTCCTATATCCTTGGCCCATTTCACTTGACATTCCTTAACCTGTTCTTCTTCCGTGTTCCATAAAAGCAATTGTTTATATAATATTTTTATTAATTTTTTATCCTTCTCCATAATGACTTCCCATGTTCCTTTGTCTTGATTGAATCCTATTTTTTCATCTTCTTTGAACCCCTCCTTTATCTGGAAATAATTCAACCATGTGAGCTTCCCATTTATTTTCTTAATTTCCTCATAGGATTTCAGTTCTAAGCCTCCATCTTCTTTTTTTTTCAATATTTGATCATAGGTTAGCCAATTTCCTTCTCCTAATTCTCGTTTATGTTTCGCTTCAGGCTGTGAGATCCATAGTGGCGTAGTTCTGAAAAATCTAGCCTTATACTTTTCCCAGGTCTTAATTAAGGCGGCCCTTATGAAGTGGTTACTAAAACTTTTTTCTATTTTCTTTCTGCCGTACCATAGGTAGCTGTGCCACCCTGCCCTGAGATCATGTCCCTCTAGCGTTAGTAGTTGGCTATTTGCAAGGGTGGCCCATTCTTTTATAGCCACTAGGTTACAGGCTTCATAGTAAATTC